AGCTCTGGAGCTGATCCTTTGTACCCCAAAAGGTGGATTTTGCTGCTKCTCTGTAGCACATTCCCCATAACTTCTCTTTGCTTTACTTTTTTGCTTGCAGACCATGGATGCGGATCACTCCAAATCCCCCGAGGGTCTGCTGGGGGTCCTGGGTCACATGCTGTCTGGGAAGAGCCTGGATTTGCTGCTGGCAGCAGCAGCAGCCACTGGGAAGCTGAAATCCTTCGCTCGGAAGTTCGTCAAGTGAGTGTCAGCCTGGATGGCACTGTCCCTGGTGACCAGGGGGCTGGGGGGAGCAGGCAGCCCCCTAAACTGTCCCCCAAACAGGGCTGGATGTGCCTCTGGCTCAGTGGAGCACTGGGGAGGGCTGAGAGCTCAGGGAGGCACCCATTCTTAGCCTCAGTGTGACCAAGGCAGAGAATTGGAGCCAGGTTGGTTTGGGGGTGTTCAGAGAACTGAAGGCYGTGGCAGAGCCCTGGATGCAGGGCTGTGTGTCCCTGCTGTCCCCAGACACACGTGTCCTGCTTAGTGCACACACACCAGCACACATGATGGGCTCCCCCGAGGCAGTTTGACCCATTCCACCCTCAGGGTTTGATGGGTTTGACCCATTCCAGCCTGGGGGATCCTATTTGGGTGTCTGTGCTCTGAAAGCCCCACACAACTGGACAGAGCTGGCTGTCCAGCAGCAGATGGGTGTGGAATGAGCAGCGTGGCCGACCCTATGTGGCCACAAGGAGGAGGTGACTTGTCCCTGCCGTGCTGGAGGGTGTCTGTGGAGCTGGGATGGAGTTTGGGGGGCAGTCTGCAGGTCAGGCAGCCCCCCTGCTTGTCTCAGGGTTGGGAATTGTTTGGTTGGACTGGTAATGCTTTGCTGCCACTCTCTGCCCCTGCAGGCTGAATGAATTCACCAAGCAAATCACCGGAGAAATCTGTGAGTGCGTGTGCGTCCGTGCGTGGGGTGATTGGAGCTGGGCCCCTCCTGCTGCCCGTTCTGGGATGTTCTGGGGCCTGACTGGGTTAAACTGGGGCTGGCTGTGGTTCCAGAGCAGGCTGAGCTGTGCCGGGCCCATCTGGGGGTGCTGGCAGGGATGGGGCACAGGGGGCACAGGCCATGTGCCAGCTCCTGGGGACCCGCTGCTCTCATGTGCGTGTCCATCCCAAATGTGGGGTGTTCCCAAGGGTTTCCTCTCCCCAGCTGAGCCCGGGGGCCCCTCAGCTCCCTCCCTGGAAGGGGTGATGTGTCAGCACAGCCCAGATAAGGACTCTGACTCCGTGTGATGAAACTTGCGGAGTGCTCTGACCTTCCATGGCGAGGGGGCCCCGCTTGGGCTGGAGCTGCCCAGAGGGAGGTCAGGGCTGCTCTGGGGGCTCAAGAAGAGTCAGAGGTGGGGGCAGCCACTTGGCTAATCCCCTTGTTCACATAGAAGCACTGGAGGGGTTAAAAAAGCTGCGTGGGGGAAGCAGGGCCCCGGCCCCCGCGCTCATGGGGTTCTGCCTCTGTTCTCCTGCCGAGGCCAGAGAGCCCCAAGGTCTTTATTTCTCCTCYCTCAGCCAAGAGTGGCTCAGTCCGGGCTCTGCTCTTTGACATCTCCTTCCTCATGCTGTGCCACGTGGCCCAGACCTATGGCTCCGAGGTAAGGATCCTCAGAGGGGATGATGGGGCTGGAGCCTGTGAGGGAGGGGAAGGATGGGGCTGTATCCTCCGAAGGGCTCTCACCCTGCGCTGCTGCAGCCTGTCAGCCTCCTCTAGTGGCCAACCTGCCACTGTCCCYGCTGTCCCTGCTGTCCCTGCTGTCCCTGCAGYCACTTCATAGCCCAGGGCACTGCACCCAGCACCTGTCACCTGGAAATCTGTCCCTGGGGCTCTGTGGGTGCCAGGAGGTGGAGCAGGACTGGCTGTCCCCTCCCTGAGGACTTGGGTTGTGCTCCACTGAYGGGCAGTGGGATCAGTGGGAATGCTGTTTTCCAGCAGCCTCTGAGCTCACCACACCCCTCCCAGTTTGCTGCTCCAGTTTGGCACTGGTTGGCTGTGGGGGGGTCACAGTGCTGGGCAGTTTCAGGCCTCCCCCCGTCCAAGAAGGAACTCACAGCCCCGCTCAGGAAACAGCATTTGCATGAAAATTTTCCAGGTTTCAACATCTGTGCGTGCTGGGAGRAGAAATGATACTGAAACACTGGGAATGCAGAGAGGGGGAGAGAAGGGTCCTGCCCAGCCGGCCCCGGGAGCAGGGAGGGGGGTCCAGGCAGGGACGGATGTGCCCAGGGCTGTCCAATGAGATCTCGTCCCCCCCTCCCAGCCCGGTGACTTTCCTGCCCAGCTGCTGCTGAGCAGATGTGCAAAACTTTTTTTTTTTTGGACAAAAATAGTGTCCCCTGGGTGACACAGGCTGAGGGGAGGAAGTGGCGTGTGGGGTTTCCAGCTYGTGGGCCCCACAGAACCCTCCCAGCTGGGCTGTGTGACCCCAGCCCGGGGACCCTGCCCATGGCGTGACAGGGTGAGGGGACAAGGGACCCGTTTGAGCAGGACACGGTGACCCCATGGCCACACTCACATCTGGCATGAGCCCCCTGGTATTGGGGGGAAAAAAACCTGCCTGCAGTCAGGAAACCAGTGCCTTAGTGGGGGCTGACCAGTGCCTTATTGGGGGCTGACCAGTGCCTTATTGGGGGCTGACCAGTGCCTTACTGGGAGCTGACCAGTGCCTTACTGGGGACTGATCAGTGCCTTACTGGGGGCTGATCAGTGCTTTACTGAGGGCTGACCAGTGCCTTAATGTGAGCTGACCAGTGCCTTACTGGGGACTGACCAGTGCCTTAATGGGAGCTGACCAGTNTGACCAGTGCCTTAATGGGAGCTGACCAGTACCTTACTGGGAGCTGACCAGTGCCTTACTGGGAGCTGACCAGTGCCTTATTGGGGGCTGACCAGTGCCTTACTGGGGACTGATCAGTGCCTTACTGGGAGCTGACCAGTGCCTTACTGGGAGCTGACCAGTGCCTTACTGGGGACTGACCAGTGCCTTACTGGGGGCTGACCAGTGCCTTACTGGGGACTGACGAGTGCCTTAGTGGGAGCTGACCAGTGCCTTACTGGGAGCTGACCAGTGCCTTAGTGGGGGCTGACGAGTGCCTTAGTGGGGGCTGACGAGTGCCTTAGTGGGGGCTGACCAGTGCCTTAGTGGGGGCTGACCAGTGCCTTACTGGGAGCTGACTAGTGCCTTACTGGGGCCTGACCAGTGCCTTACTGGGGACTGACCAGTGCCTTACTGGGAGCTGACCAGTGCCTGTGTCCCCCTCCAGGCCACAGGGCGGCGCTGTTCCCACAGCCGTGAGCACCCCCGGGTGGGGACAGACCCCGGTGTGGGGGACAGGCCCAGGGTGGGGACAGACCCCAGAGTGGGGGACAGGCCCAGGGTGGGGACAGACCCCGGTGTGGGGGACAGGCCCAGGATGGGGACAGACCCCGGGGTGGGGGACAGGCCCAGGGTGGGGGTCCCCAGCAGGGTCCCTCCGGGATGCAGACTCCGTGTTGGTTCCTTTCCAGGTGATCCTGTCGGATTCCAACCCTCCGGGCGAGGTGCCCTTTTTCGAGACCTGGATGCTGACCTGCATGCCYGAGGAGGGGAAGATCCTCAACCCCGACCACCCCTGCTTCCGCCCKGATTCCACCAAGGTGGAGTCCCTGGTCGCCCTCCTCAACAACTCCTCCGAGATGAAGCTGGTGTAAGAGCCCACCCAGTGCCCACCCTGAGCCCCCAGCCCAGCTCTCCTGGCCCCATAGCTGTGTCTGAATCCCCATCTCCCCCCCGACAGGCAGATGAAGTGGCACGAGGTGTGTCTGAGCATCTCAGCTGCCATCCTGGAGATCCTCAATGCCTGGGAGAACGGAGTCCTCACCTTTGAGTCGATCCAGGTGGGGCTGGTGGGGGTCACAGCAGGGTTGTGCTGTGTCCTGAGAAAGGGCCAAGGGTCCAAATGGTCTGGGATCCCCAGTTCTACTGCCCTGATTGCTCTGGCAGCCGCCTTGGAGCTTGCTGTGACTTGGAAGTGGGGAACTGATTTGTTTCCTGCTCCAAAGTGCCCTGTGGGTGACAGTAGGACCAGCAGGGACAGTGTCACCCATGGAGGAGAGAAGAGTTTGGACCCTGCAGTCGGGACCCACAGCACCAGGAGGTGATGGCTGTGCATCCCCTGTCCATGCTCATCCTCTGCTCCATCTGCTCCTAGAAAATCACAGACAACATCAAAGGCAAGGTGTGCAGCATGGCAGTGTGTGCCGTGGCCTGGCTGGTGGCCCACGTGCGCATGCTGGGCCTGGATGAGCGGGAGAAATCCCTGCAGATGATCCGGCAGCTGGCCACGCCCCTGTACGGGGAGAACACGCTCCAGTTCTACAACGAGCGGTGAGCTCGGGGCACGATGCCCTGCTGCTGCCCTGCTTCCCCTTCCCAGTGCCCTGCTGCTGCCCTGCTTCCCCTTCCCAGTGCCCTGCTGCTGCCCTGCTTCCCCTTCCCAGTGCCCTGCTGCTGCCCTGCTTCCCTTTCCCAGTGCCCTGCTACCCTGCTTCCCCTTCCCAGTGCCCTGCT